GTATGAAAAATTTGAAAGATCTCATAATTTATCATTTTAACAGCTAACGGATGTTCTAATATATAAATTTCTTGAGATAAGAACGATGTATAATTTGAACTTATCTTATTTCGTGATAAAATAATGTTTAAAGTATGATATTTAATAGAAGAATTATTATATATATATATGCATTTTATTTTTCATTTAAACATTCTATAATTAGTTTTATTCAATACAAACTATATTATTGTTTATAAGATAAAGACATAAATTAATTTTATTCGATTGATTAAACCACAATCAATTAATTTATATCAATTACTATTATTTCGATCAATACTATAATTACGCTCCCTATTGTTCTCAACATATGTGTTTATATATATATATTTCTTGCGTACTATCGAAGGGCCTGGCTTAATTGATTAATATTAATGTAATTATTCGACGACGGAAGACAATCATATGCTTAATTGCTTTCAATTTACAGGCAGTAAATTTTGTAGTAAAAAGGATAGGTCAAGATTATCAATTGTATTTTATTATCGTAAAAGTAAGTTAGTTAAATATAGATATACATTTATACTTAAAATTCTTAAAAGCAATTTATAATCTAATTTAAAACATGAATCACACACTTCAACTACAAGACGAAAAGTTATTTGATAATCCCACTCGAAAATTTTATAAAAGAAACTGTGTAAACTTCTACAAGTTTACTTGTACGAAGGGATACTTAAGATAAGTGGCGAAAAAACAAGAAAACACTTATAAGTAAGTAAACAAACTAATCGTGTCACTTTATCAATATTATCAAGATTCATCGTACAATTAGTCAATAATCGTATCAACCTTTTATAATAAAATATAATTTTAGAAATTTTCAACAACTGGTGAAATAAAATACGTAAAATACAATATTGAGCATCAAGTTTTAAAATATAACAATCTCAAGAAATCGTTTGACTATAAAATCAATTGGAAATTTTGTACATTTATCGGACGATATCTCAGAAATATCTCATAAATTTCTTTCAAATAAAAATAACACTAATTAAAAATGATAAAAATTCGAAAATATCTCAAACAAATTTTGTTCCATAATATCAATAATCTTCTAAATAAAAAGAAAAATTCATCGTAGCTCCAACTCGAATAGAACAGAACAAAATTTTTTTTCTCTCTTTCTAAAATAAACAATAATATTCGGGAATTTCGAACCGAAATTGGCATGTCAGTGTTACCGACAACATGTATTAAATAACACAGAATAATCATGCAAACGAATCTCTGTCGCGTGCCTACATTACATATATATATATATATATATATATCGATTGCTAATCAACGGTGTTGATTGACTGATAATGGGTATCGATATTCCGAGGAAGCCACCGAGTGAAGATCCTCCGAGTATTCGAATATCCCCCTCCCATTCCGCTCGTCTCTTTCTCCACCTGTGCAATTAAACAGCAGCAACTCCCTCCTCTCCCCTCCTCCCTCCATATTCGATGAAAAATTTAATAGCCACGATCCGCAAAACCGATTGACACGTACCGATGTAAATCGGTGTTTATCACAGAGCTTTCCATATAGAGATACATATACATGGAGAGAAATAATTACGGTGCACAATATGTGTATAGACAATATCTGCGTGCATACTGTATTTATTAAATTGAACAGCCTATCGATACGGTTGGCTGTTCTCGAGTTAAATATAAACTTCGATCGTGCGCAAGGATTATTGCGTATCATCTGAGGAGGGGAGGGGAGAGGGGGTTATATTCGATAATACGGATTGATGGTAACGTGGTAATTTAATGGGCTCGAAGATTCGTGGTGGATTCGTGCCAGTTTCTTGGCGAGTCGAATCTCGAGGATGGATTAATACCCGATGAAATTTTGATTTTGATATTGGAATGATATTTGTATAGTTTGTAGATTGTGTCTTTAGAGAAATTGGTTTAATTACTTCTTTGCAATTTGATTATATGAGAAATTGTATGATGAAGGATTTTGTTTATTTGTTTAATTTATTCACTTATATGGAACTAGGGTAAATAAAATTGATTTTGTAATTGTATTGCGATTTGGATATTGAGAAAATGTTAAAGGCACGTGTCATTGTACAAGATTTTTTTAATATCTCTTTTTAATTTTCATTGGATGTTAATTCATCTTTGGAAATAAAATACTTTGTGTGTATTTTACTTTACAAAAATATAATTGTGATAAGAAGTTGAGGGATGTTTACTTCTTATTATAAAAGAGAAAGATTTTTATTTATTGTATTTAGAACAGAACTTTTAAATAGTAATTATTTATCTAAATATCTTTGTAATTTATGATATTTTATGAAAAAATCTCGAATAATGAACGAAATTACAGTATTATTTAAAAATGAATATTTTTAAAAATTATTTCTTCATGAGATTTCTAGATAAAAATATTGCCATTTTTCTAAAATAATATATTAAAGTTAAATTGTTCAACATTCTCACTTACATACTTTTAGACATTCTAAATTAAGATTTTATAGGAATCCACCTGCTTACCAATTTTAATCAATTGCTCAATATGAATTTTTGGCAGGGAACCAATGAAACAATTGTGCATCAGTTGTTCGGAATTTATGATCTCAGAAAGAAAAAATAATCCACGCGATTCAATCATGTGATATGATAAATTTTCTGTTTTAGAAATATTGAATTGCAAAATAGTTTTCCTTTAAAATTAGTCTTAAATTTGGAGAAAGAAATTAAGTACTTAAAACAATATCATATATTTTATTTCGAATAATTATATTCACCTTGTCATGATTATAAAAAAATTTATTCACATTTTCTTTTTTTAAACGCTTCTCTCCTACGTATTTCAATATTTTATAAATTACATCCACTATTAATACCAATAACTTGAAGGATGTATTCCAATATCCTCCAAGAGATTAAGGTAATCAAGTTAAGTGATTCATCCTATATACACAATCTTCGATCGTTTAATTTAGAATGAATTTAAAAATTTCCAATATTTTTTCTATATTTTCTTTTTATAAAATTCAAAGGTATGAGCGAACTCTGATTAACAAAGTTTATTAATTAATGAAACATTACACGCTTTGATAATTTATGCTCGTTACGATAACTTTTTTCTCTCGACAAAATGTTTGTTATAATGCACACAATAGTAAAGTAAAAAATATTTAAAAATTATCTTCGGGTAATAAAAATTTTATTTCAATTAAATCATTTTTCGCTTGTTTTCACTTTAATTTATTTCGATGTGATTGAAAGATCGATATATTTACGGCATCCCCTTGGGATAATTAATAATCACTAATCTGCTTCAAAGGCAGATTGGTAACAAGTTAATTACTATGTATATAGGATCATTTACATATTTAGTTAGATTGAACTTGACTGATCAAAGACGGAGCAAATTGAAAAATTTTACACATGGTTCTTTCGGTATTAAATTTATCATCACCTGTTGAAATTGAACTCGTCGTGCTCAAATAATAAAGAGAGAGAGAGAGAGAGAGAGAAAGAAAAAAATTTACACCTTCACATTTTATCGACGTTCCCGCAATCTAATTACTTGGAACAAGAATATAAAGGGAAAAAAAGGTGCCGATCAAAGCATTCTATTCTCGACAGTAAACCCCAGGAATAATTGCGAGTGGTCGCCCACCTCAGCCAACTGTCGCACCGTCTGCTTGCAAGATTAAACTTACTATAAGTTGGATTTATTTAATCGTAAAATAGACGACGAGAAATTATTCGATCATTCAAGGATATTTAAAAAAAGAAAGGGAGAAAAAAAAAAGAAATTCGCGATTCATCCGAAAATATAGAATACAAATTACTCATTTGCATTGAAATCAATGTAAGGTTGCTATCGTCTCGTGTAAAACGTGATTCAAAATATTCAACCCTTTTTCATTCATAAATCCTTTCCTTCATACAAAATTTTCAGATAAAAATTTGAATAATATTTTCCTAAGCTTTTAGAGACGATTAAACGACCACGATGTTTTACTTCCATTCAAATAAGTATTAGACGACATCTATACACATTATGTTATCTAATTCGAAATATAAATATTCGAATTGGATTTTATATTATTTAAGTCTAACGACTTGTCATTGGGATGATATTTTATATAATTTAAAGTGTAAAGTATTCGTACGTATCTCAAGATCTGGCGATGAAGAGAAAAGTATTACCTATTCTCTGTGAAGTTTTACGACTTTACAGCTGGAATAGGGATGACACAGGACCAGGGGAGGTTTTGACGGTATTGATTTCCCAAGCCCGGGACCTCGTACCATCTGCAACTCAAACTGCTTCACCGAGATACCCTTACATGCTCTACAGAATTGTATAAAATCTTATACAATGCTATCTCAATGTATATCATCGATCGTTTCGTTTCGAAAATTTTCCACCCTGTTCTTGCCATTCTCCATCTTATTATGGCTCGTTGGAAAACGAGGAAAAATAAGGAAAAGTAAGGATAGAGGATTGTTCGATTTAATTGTGATCTCGTAGACGATTCGCACGTGTTTGAGTATGAGTCGAGGATGAATGAACGAAGAAATTTATCTCGCAGATTTTTCAACACTTCGAATCAAATTTACAAATTTTTCCGATCATTTCACGTGAATATCAATGGCTGAATGTTTACACACGTCTCCTGTGTCTTTTCATATTTAAAATCGCCCACAGAAACATTCAAAACTGAATTAACGCTAGCAAATATTTGTATAATTTGACATTAAAATATTAAATGAAAAGTTCAGTGTGTATTTAAAAAAAAAAAATAATGCAAATATATTTTTTTTTGAAAAATATAAAGAGAATTAATACATTTATTTGTACATCGATTCATTGTTATTTTTATGTGTAAATATGGATATAAATTTACGTATTTTTCCTAGATTTTGTTTATATATAGATAGAAACAGAGAAATTATTATTAAAATAATAAGATAAAAATCAAAATTGATAAAGAAAATACGAAAAGAAATTTTAATAATCTTTAATAATAATCAAAAAATTGTTTTGTTAAAAATAATTAATTTTCTAATCTTTAATTATATTTTTCTTAAAAAAATTCTAATGAAAAATTATTAAATGATATATAATTTTTTTTTTTAAATTTAAATTTAAATTAATATTTGGAAAAATTAAAAATAAAGGAATACTTAGGACTGATTGTAAGAAAATATTCTTATTATTTTGATTGACGCAATCTGACTGTCTTCGACGCATGTCATCCCACACGTCTTTCTCGTCTCATTATCGAAACAAAGGAAGCCTGGTTACTGGGTCAAAGGTGACAAGCCACCAATTCAGAAAATTGGCCTAGTAATATTTCTACAAAAATACAATCACGAAACGAAACTGTTATCTATTACACATTATTTTATTATTAAAAGTTTATAAAAAGTTGTTTTTAGTAAAATATAAATATTTATACGTATAGAAGAACACGGAAGAACAAATTTGCAATAAAATTTAATAATATTTTATTTGAATAAAAATGTATGTTTTTTATGTGGTATTACACGAAGATTTTCACGAATAACTGTAATTTTAAATTCATTCAAAGTATTTATAAAATGTTATTTAAAGGGGATATTAATGATAAAATTTCCAATGTAATGAAATATAATATAAAAATGGACAGGAATGAAATACGGGAAAATGAAAGAAAATAAAATTAATATAATACAATTAAATTACACGAAGATTGTAATGAAAATTAGGCACGTACTTCTCAAACGTATAATTAAAATGGTAATTTTTAAAAATTATAAAAAAATAATTCAATATCAGATACGTGTTTTTATTATTTAAAAATTCTTTTTCTCGAATGTACTCACATGTGACGTTAATTTACGTTTGAATAAACTTGATTTCTCAGAAACAAATCTCTCCGAAACCCGTAGTTGCTCACGTGGGAGATGTTCTTAATTAGCGAAGCAACCTAAATCAGCAACGAGAGTTGCTAATAAACCTGTGTGTTGCATGACAAAGTGGTAAACAAAGTGGAAATTAGAAATTGAAGGAAAAAAAAAAAATTGGCAGCAAGTCAAATTATTGCTATTATTAAATTTCCAATAAGTAAATATTGATTTTTAACACGTATGCACTTTCAGAATTTAAAAGTATTACACATTGTTATTTTATATAATTATCGAACAAATTTTTCACGTAATAAACATTGTTTGATTTTGGCAAACATGAAACATAATGAAATGTGCACACGTGAAATTCTTTAAACTCAGTTCAAATCTCAAACCTTTATAAGTGGAGAAAGAAAATCTCCATAAGTAAATAATGGATCGAGAGTAATGGCTGACTATGAATGTCATGTGACTACTTAATAAAGATGCTTCACCTTCAACGTTTCAAGTTTTCTCTCTCACGTTCTTCTGCTTCTTGAATTGAATACATTAAAAATGCAGATATCAAGGTATTAAACAATGGTCTTACACTTCCTCATATCCCTTCCCAGTTTTCCTTCTGTTCATTCTAATGAATAACTGTATTCATTACTTCATTATACGTGCAAGTTCGAAATCCTATAATGCTATTACTATCGCTTGAATGAAAGATCAGGGGAAAACGATGTTCCACCTACATAAGTCACTAATCGTGACAACAAAGATAGAATAATAGAGCTTGATCTCAAGAATAGATCTGCTAAATAATAAGAGATTTGAATCTATGATGATACAATAATATCTTTCTTATATGTATATATAATTCTCGATTAATAATTAACATCATACAAAAATTAGAATTTTAGAAAAAAGCTTCATCATATAAATTCAACCTTATTAAAACCAATTCAATTCAAATAAATTTGAATAGTTTCTTATCTGTTCTAATCTAAAAATACGCAAATATTTATAGATTACACAAACCTGAATTATTACATAAATAAAATGATATTCGGAATATTTAGGCGTCTCAATTTTATATTGAAGAATAAGAAAAGCATTATTTTTATCAATAATTAATTCCTGATAATATTAAATCAACGTTTAATACTTAAGTCACATCGTTTACAAAATCTCATTTCTTCACATCTTTTTTCTCTTTCTATAATTGAACTTGAAAAGAAGAAACTAATTAATTAATTAATTCTTCACGAAAATATTCGAGATTCGATAAGATGACTAATTTCCAAGACACGTGGCGTCACGGACGATTAAACACATTGAATTGAGAAGATAAAATGGTTAGAAGGCGATCACGCGAAACGCAAGGTGTAGAAAGTGAAGATGGTATATATATATATATATATATATATATATACATCGATGGTTCGTTAAAGGAACCTCCTACCTTTTTACTTTATTTCCGTACGTAATCAATAGGCGTTCGATCGAGTCGGTATATTTCCGAAGTGGCGTCTCCAATGTTCACAAGAGCACCTCTTCTCCTTTATCGGGGTTGTCGGCGCAGAAACGAGCGAGGAAAGGATACGTGGGGAGGGGGGCGAAATTGGAAGAAGTGCGCAGGCCGCTAATACATCTTCTTCAAGAATTATAGGTGTCGTGTATAAATAACCGGCTGCTTATTTATCGTGCTCTATCGAGAAAGAAGCGGGAAAGGAGGGATGAAAAAGCCATTTTTATACGATATGTGTATACTCGTTTAACACTTTAGGTATTGGTTTCATTTTTTTTTTTTACATATATATATATATGTATTTATATTATAATTTATATCAAATATAAATTATGATTTCTATGTGTATTTTCTATGTGTTGTATGTATGTATTTTTCAAAAGAATGAATAGGGAAAACTACTTTCCTTTATATTTGGAAGATTATAATAAATATATCTAAAATAATTATAGAATAAGAATTTAATAATTAAGAAATGGTAGTTAAAATTTACAAAGTACAAAAGTTATTTAATTTTTATTTATACGATTTTCTTTATCTATTTTATTCTTTTTTCAAAATGTATAGAAAAATTAAGGATTGCCATGTGTTAATCTTTAAGGAATATTTTCATCTTTGAAATACGACTTACATAATTTATAATTTTTGGGAATAGTTAAATCTTCTTGTTACTTGATTGGAGCAATATTTATCATATGTTTTCCCAAAATTGTTATTTTGCGTGTGGAACAGCATTTGCGTGAAATAAATTTTAAGGACATCAAGATCGTTGTTGCTATTTGGTTCGCCTTCTATTAATAATATTTTCTATAATCGATGTGAAAGATATTTACTCTGGCAAAAGATGGCGAGCAAGCTATATATAAATAGCTAATCACTTGTTTATCGAGCATCTCTAATAAAGCCAAGAATATTAATATATAATATCTATAAACCTGGTTTCTAAATAATTATATTTAATTTTATTATGATAAAAATCTGTGCAACTATAACAATAATAATTTAGATAAATATTTTTTTAATAGTGAAAAAACAGGTTCGTTTCCCTTTCTATATCCGGGATTAAATTAAATATCAAAAGCTTTATTTAAAGCTTTGTTATATAAACTATTTATTTTACAATAAAGAAAATATTCATTCCTCTGACATTTGATTTTTCCTCTATATAAATACATATGATCTTTTAACAGTTCAAACAGGATATATCATCGTACAATCTCATACATATTTCGTATGTATTTGGATCGTGGCTTCATCAAAAAATCTCATTGCACATCTATTAATCATTTCGACCTCCTGTCTAACATTTCTTTCGAAGCGTGCTGCAAATCGTCCTCGAGACGCAATAAAAAGGGATAGATAGAAGGAGGAACCATCAGGTTATAAATGTGAAAGTTCAAGTTTTATTTACTATAAGTTTCGCGGAGGAATACACGTTTTATTAATAATACAACGCATTTTCCTTGAGAAACGCAGGCATCGTTTATAAATAACCGGCTTATTTGTCGTTGCCCAAGGAAAAAGACAGGATCGTTATCGTGGTGTATTTTTAAAAAAAGATATATGAGGTGGGGGATGGAAATGCTCTTTTCTTTTTTCTTCTCTTTCTTTCTGTTTTTTTTTTTTTTTTCAAAACGTCGGAAGTTACAGACGATTTAACATCACTATGACAATGGAATAATAAAACGTTCGATCGAAATCGTGACTTCTCGTTCTTTTGTTCTAACGAATCAATCACTCGTGAAACAAATTTCTCATTAGGATTGAATTTTTGAAAAGAAAAAATTACTTATAAGTAATCTATTATAGTTTTGTTTCTCAATTAATCAATCAATGATTATTTTATTGAAGAATATTTAACATTATTATAGTTTATAATTTTTACATGAAATCAGACAATTTGTATTTATATTTAATACTTTGTTTGTCTTATAAAACTTGTACTCATCATAAAGTTTGCAACTCATTCATTTTTATAAACTTTCATCAACAATATTAATTCATATATATAAGAACAGATTGATCATACTTTATTTCTATATTTCATCACTGATTCTAATGTATCTTTTAATAAATATCGGTTGCACAAAAGTGTCAAAATAAATTTAAAGTGGAAAAACGAAATTAAATATTTTTTATATCCAAAATGAAATGGACAAAAAAATAACCATACAAGAGAAATAACGTTACATTATTTTGAATTTTTCAATTAATAAACACGGAATATTCAACGTGAATATAATAATTTGAGCTGTAATATTAGCAAAACATATATATTCAATAGAGAAAGATCGTCAACAACGCTAGATATCTCGCCACGAAGTGTATAAATAAAACAGGACGCGCATTTATAGAATTCATTATTTATCCCAATCAGAAGGTTGGGCGTAGTATTACCGTCCAGCTCGCGTGAGTCGTGTCATTAAAATCCGATTTCGAGGCTCGCATCGAAAATTTTATTAACCGATAAGAACTGATCGAAAGTATCCTCCCCGTATTTTACATTAATTTCCCCCCACTCCTCTCTCAAAAAAAATATAAAAATAGCTCAAAGTATTTCGTGACTGGTCTACGAAAATAAGAGTGAAAAATGCCGATGTTTCAATAAAAGGCATTGCGTATTTTTGTCAAAGGAGAAGAAAAAGGAAGTTTTCGAGTAGAAACGCGTATCGTTTTATTCAATGTCGAATCGATACATGGAGAGGAAACTTTAATCTAATAGAAGAAACGTTTCTACTAATGGTATTCGAGGATTGGAAAGTCGGTTGATTGGAGATTAATTGCGGTATAACGTTTGACTTGTAATATCGAGTCATAATCAAATGAAATCAAATCGAAGATACGTGTTAAGGATTAATTTTAATTTTGACTTCTAAATTGAGAATCGAATGAAATATTAATATTGTACGATTAAATTGTTGTAATATTTCACTCAAGGGAAATAATTTATATGCCAATACGAATCAAAAATTAACAGTAATCAGAATTAACAGTAATAAAAATTATTTCAATATTTCATAAATGGTTTTAAAGATGTCTTTCAAATATTCTATTTCATTCACAGCATCCTTGTACAAACGAACTATAATGTTGTTACAGACCATCAATTACCATTGAATTTCATTAGATTATAAATTTTTTATAAAAAATAATAAGGATTGAGAAAACAATTAAAAATTATTTGGAAATTAAAATTGACGAGAGCAATACTCCATTATACAATTTCCAAAACAAATCAAGGGAATTAACTAAACTAACTATTTATAAACTAACTATTAAATAAACTAACTATTTAAAAAATAAAATCACAAAAATTAGAAAAATCGAAAGATAAGTTATCCCTTCGTTAAATGAATTCGAATAAAGCTTCAAGTATTTTAATCATAAAACAAAGGCGCGTAAATCCGTGCATAAATTATATTGATTCATTCGTCTGGCGATCGTCCATTTTCCTGTAATTTTCCTCGTTGGAATTTATTCGGTATGTCGGATTAAAGCTCGATCAGCCCCAGGTCTCGTTATTGATCAAAATTCCACGATTCCAAATATTTACAAAATCCAAGGAAATTCTATCCACCTTCTCTCATCGCCATAGAAAGGCTTCTCTATTCTCGAAATAAAATACTCTTTAAGTCGAAACGGGAAACGAATGCACGTAACATGACGTGACACGGTCCCATGAAAATCACGGGTCCACGGGGATTCGCGGGGTTTCCTTGGCGCGGTTTTAAATACCGTCTCTCGATTGTATGTCACGATAATAACACGCGCGAGAACATGGGAGGGAATAAATGGAAACAACGGAAGCCTTGAAGTGCATCGCGGAAGCTGAAACAGCTGAAGAAATGAGAGGGGGAGAGAAAGATGGAGAGAGGGTGGAGAATCCTAACTAAGATTACGGAACGCTTACCGGGTCATGGTCTGTCTATTTTCTCATTCGACTCCGTGTGTGTTTACGAGTGATACCCTTCTTTTAATTTTATCAATTAATCAGTCGTTGAGAATTTCGAATTTTTGTTTTATAAATGTAAAACGTTTCATTTGTCTTCTTTATTTTTAGGTTGGTTTTATAATATAGTGAATTATTTTCTTTCTCGATTTCTTGCGATAGTGATTTATGTACGAAGAAAAACGATGAATGAGTATATATGGTAAGTATTAAAAATAGAATTGCATTTTAATGAGCAAGTTATATTAATATCTGCGTGTAAAAGCGATATGTTTTAGTAATAATTAAAAAAGCAGTACGTATAGAAATATAGTTGATATTTTTTTTTTCATTAAAAATAATATCTTTTTTACATTTTTCTTCATATCACGGTTTCATTATTTCATTTACATTTCGAAATTCTATATCTGTATATATTATTTGTATTATTTTCCTTCACATACAGTCGGTCACAAGAATTTTTATATCTTATTACGAGTTTAATTGTGTTATCAATATGAACGAAAATTCTATTTCTTATTTAAACTTTGTAAACATAATGTAGAGAATATAATTGGTTTTATATTTTATATTTTTTTGAAAATTGAGTTTTCTTCATAATGTAATGCAAATAAAATTTTTTGTGACTGACTGTACACGTGTACGACCTTTTTGATTCGAATGACCTAGCAGCAGAAACATGTTGATAAAATTTGTTCGGTTTACTCTTGGGACGCCTTCTATATTGTCTGATACATGGATGGTAGAGAAAATAAAAAGGAAGCTCAGGATTAAAAATCAAAATAAATAATTCGATGTTCGAATAAACTTTGCATTGGAAATAAAATTTCGAAAGGTAATTTTCAAAATTGAAGGAAAGAGTATATATGATTATTTTTAATTTGCAATTATTTATATAATTTTTATGTATGAAAATTTCCAATTTTTATTATTATTTATCTATGAATAATTATATTATCAATTTTATTGCCAAATAATGGAAAAAAATATTAAAGATTATTAATCTTATAATTTATTACTGCGACAAATTTTTTTAATATTTTATTAATGCCTTCATCATAAATATCCTATTTAAAAATATGTATTAAATTGTAATTTATTTAATTATTATAAAAAAAGGATTTTGTCTCGAAAAACGTTGAGAAATATTGCGTTGGAGATTGTACAGCAACAGCAAAACTTTTTTACTCTTTTCAAAATAACTGTAGTTTATAAGATTTTTCAGAAATTTCAAGTTTGAAATGTTTTATGATTTTATAACAGTCCACCCTGTGTTTGATTCAACTATGTAACCGACAAGTTTCGTTTCTCGTTTCTTGTTTCCATAGTTTTCT